CTAGATGAGGAATGTGACTACCAGATGGAACATGTGGTGCGACCGATACACAATGCGAAGCGGCCGAAATCGATGGGGAATGGCATGCGAATCTATTCTGGTATTTACGTTTTGGCGTCCAACTGGGAAGTTTGTGCGAGCTCCTCCGCTGTGGCACGCATCAGACGCATCACAATCTCCGGGTTGTCACTGGATGTGATTTCAGTCCCGGACACGATCATGTTTGCTCCGGCCTAGTATGCGAAATGTATTCAAATCACACAATAGAAAATGACACGAATAATTTAAATTATGTCTTTACTTAAAAAAACAAGGTAACAGATGGTTCGGTTTAGCTCAGCTAATCGCTTATCGTGGTAAAATCGAATGAATAATTGAAGTGAATTGGTTAACACTTGTCCATTTGTGTGCTACAATCCGCCGTCCTTATCAATGCAGATTAGTTAGGTGAGGCAAGCAGAACCGAGCAAGAAGTGTTAAATGATCTACTTGACCCAGTCTGTTAGTAGTTATTTCGATCTTCATTACTCAGACAGTGGATCGGTCGCCATGGGGAAAATTGTCAGTCATGTTCTGACAGCCTCTGAACATTGAGAAGGTCTACTCAAGAGACGTGCTGCAGTTATGAACTGTGAGGAAGGAAAACAACTCGCGTACTGATGATGATGATCGCCGGGAACGAGCGAGCGATGAAAGAAATATAAAGCGCTCACAAGAGCTTGTTTGTATACTAATTACAGTAAAGCCTACCTTTGGTTGAGTTATGGACTACACAGATTGATGGTACTTGACAAAACCTTACGCGTGAACTGAGAACTACAAGTGAAGAAAGGTCGATCTGGACTCGAGAGCGGAAGATGCATCAAGGTCGGAAAGCATACAAATCGTATAAGATTATAATCCCTGGGTAAAAATGTGAGACCAGTCACCTGCGACGAGTGAAGGTTTAGAGAGAATTTCCACAAGCGGATCAATGTAGCTCTGATAGTTGTCAATTCAGAAAATTATGGATTATTATAAAGCCATTAAGACGTAGCACAACGACGGGGAAAATATTTTATGGCACCTGCTTTCCTAAAGATATTAAACAGTTCTAAAAAAATTCGCGCATAACTCTGATTTTCATATACCAGAGAAGTAGAAAATCACAAGAACCGACGGTTGAATTCCAACGAGGAAACGTACGGAAATGCAGTCCCGAATGGTCTTTTTGCTTACACCACCATCCACTTCGATATTCAAATCGGTATACTTTTCGCGGAGAAATTTAACCTGAATCAGGGACAGAATGGGAGGGGCGGGGGTGGAAGAGCCGAACGCAAAACACAGTGTGATACTGTCTGTCATTCTGCATCACGAATGATCAGTAGCCCGAGAAAAACGGGACAGCTGATTCGAAGGAATAGGTTAGGTAAGATAAATTAACGTGTTAATTTGCAAGAACATTCAACCTACATCTAGCAGCATATAAATTCATAAAATCAATATGAAGTACCTTAGATGAAACTAAGACAACAACCTATGGAATAATACACGAATGCATAACTTTTTGTTGCATGACTTTGGAAACTTATGATAAAGAGTGGAGAACAAAACGGGATTTTCGTCGGACCGGAAGTCCCCAATTTGTTGATCATATTTAAATGAGTGGATACAAGCAAAGCCCCAAATGCATTGTTGAACCCTGGAGTTTCATAGAGAGCAATTATTTCCCACTACGAAAAGGGAGAACGAGTTACACCGGAGGTTGCACCCTTCGAAGGGTAGACTTACATTTATCTCCCAGTCTTCTGTTTATAACCAACATGAACACAGACAGGCGTATCGCTTAGGTTGATGGATGTAACGTACAGGTTCGAAAGCTCTATGCAGACCGCATTGCGCACTAGCTTTTCTTGACTGATTTAACTGACCAAACCACATTGGAATCAGATTAAAATGATCGATTATTTTTTAAAGAAGTCAAATTGGTAAACAAGCTCCATTTGTGTGCATCCTTCTTTAAACAAGGAACACAAAGCCGCGAAAATGTACGAAGTATTTCAGGAATCATTTGACTGTATTTGAACTGGTGCTTAGTGCAAAGAAATGGAAATATATATGAAGGTACACTGAGTCATAGTTATTAAGACACAGCTTAGGAGCTGATTTCGGGTCCATTAGCTTGTAAATTTTGGACCTATAATTGGGTGCTGTATTTGGCTCGCGAAGGAAGCATTGCAAACGAAATTCCATGTCAATGTTAGCTTTTTCGGCAACCTGCGGGTATATTCCAGCAGTTCCAGAAACTCGTGTGACTTACACAACACTGTGGAAAAATCCTCAGAGTGATAGGTGCGAATGAGGTTGGATAACCGGCGACATTTGCTGGTCATAGTGAAAAATGGAACAGCTTAAAAAAAAACATTTGAAGCCAGGTCAAACAGGAGTGTTAACCTGAGCAGCGGTTACTACCTCACAAAGACGCACCTATTGGAAGTTCATCAGATCAATTTCTTAGAGAACAAAGGATATGCGGAGACAGTAAATATACGAAAAAACCGTGAAGTATCTTCATGATTATGCATAAAGACGGAGACGTTGCTTGTACACTCGAGCCCAAGGACCGTCCACACGACGGACAAGCAAAATTTTGTCAGATCGCAAGACAAACCGATGCGCGAGTTAAGGATGTAGGTGAAACGGAAATAAGGTGCACTTCTGAAAGCGCCGGAAGCAAAGTATAAGCACTATGTTGGAGACCGAGTCGGCGACCCTGGCTAAAGAAATTACTCCCTAGATAGCGAATTTCATGCAAAATACGGCTAAAGAAGAATCCAGTGAACATATTTTAGAGGATAATTGACGACAAGTGAGTACATCAGACNATCAGACTAAATCCGATAGATAGCACGAGGACAATAGCCGAACACAACAGGGCCGTCGCACATCAAACTCCTGATCAGATCTTCTTCAACAGACCAACCGACTTTTTAACCGGAGATAAATTCGTCCAAATTTTCAGAAAGACGTCAGTGCTCGATGTGTGCACAGTTCATTTTCGTCGGGAGGTGTTGTGAGGTACTACTCACCTTTGTGAATAGTACGGTTGGAGTGAGCAAAA